AATCTCCCTGAATATGGGCCCAAGCACATACTTTTGCTGCTCATGACGACGAGGAATGAAGATGCGTCCGTCAATGGCGCTTTTCTCACCGGCCTTGTACTTCTCACACTCTGCATCAATAATCCTTTTCAAGGTTACAGACGGACTCGCATGCTCTACGACCGGTATTTTCGAAGAAGAAGCCATTGATAGAGAGTTTTCTCAGAAGACGAAGTCGGGAAAGAAAGTAGAGGAAAAATGAAGGTCAGTAGAGATTAAGGGTTTATGTGATAGGCAAATAGGTGAATTCAAAGCACAAAATAAAGGGGTTTTAAAACTTTTGTGTCTAAAAAATATACCCAGCCGTGTTGTACGGACGGAATTCACAAAAGAGTACTAAAGTTACAGATGCAAGATGTTTCTTTCTATATTGATAATTATGGAGGGAAACACATCTTAAATACTTATGTCAGTTTAGAAATAAAATATTTGGCTTCAAAGCCAAATTTTAGCGCCAAAATGAAATGACAAACGGCTTCCAAAGTAAGAAGCCGACTTCGAAACACATTTCACGCCTCACGGTGAAAGAGTGCTTAGGTATTTGTTTACTTCAAAAGGATTAAGAACCTGTTTGTTGGTTTCTAAATAAGAGTAAAATCATTCGAAGCAAAACTTAAAATACTTTTCAGTTAGAAATTGTTGTTCTAAGTTTCAAACCAAACCGACAAAAGTTGTTAATTACACTCCATAAGTTGGAAAAGTTCAAGTTGGTTTCTTCAGCATTGCCATTGGGAATGATCGAATTGAGATTCGAATGATGAAATTGTTGACTTCGAAGCCCTAAGTTTGTTTGACTTTGACAAATAGGGTAAAATCAGACCATGCCAAATAAAAAGAAAATATATTAGCTTTATTAAAATAAGAGCAATTACATCATAGGCCTTCATAGGCCTTCTTTGGCTACATATTCAAGCTCATAAAAATAAGGAACAGAATAAATAACAAGGTTATGAAATTTGCTCCAACTGTGGTCAATGAACTTATGTTCTTTCTTTATTCTATCTTCTATCTTCTCCAGGCTAGGCGGCTGAAGTTGATATGCTTTTACTTGATAAAAAAGTTTTTCGACCTTTATTTCGAATTCTGTTTCTTTCAACCCTTGTTCTATCTCGTCCATGTTCAAATCATCCCAGTATGCAGAGTCTTTATTCTTGAAATCATTATATTCATAGATAAGGTTCTCTGCTTCATACTGGGTATGCTGTATCTGGCAAAGCAGTCCATGTTTGGCACTACTTTTTCAAAAATCTGTTTCTCAAAATGATTTGCCAGATTTGGACTCTTTGGTTCAGATTTAGAACCGTGACACAAATCGAGTCCGAACTGTAGCACGAGGCCTCACGCGGGCGCTGTTACAGCATGGAAGACGTGTATCATGCTAAGAGTAAGTTATCTTTTAAACGGCGTCGGCGGTCGATGGGTACATATAGGTAAACCACCGAACTCCGAGCAAAGGGAGGGAAAGTTAGAGGATTAACGAATTCGACAAAATGATGATTAATTCGTTCCCTTAACTTAGACTCATCGGGTTCTGGCCAGCTTCTCCAACTAGAAGCCCTAGAAGAAGAAGAAGTGGCAGCTTCATCCCATGCAGAAGGTTTTGGGTTAGAATAAGAGCTTCCAATATCCATGTTTGCAAAATTTTGGACTAAGGAGTTGTGAATAACAGGTTCGTAATCCAATGGTTGATAATTTGCAAAAGCTTCCATGACTTGAATATAAGAAGGTGGGTAAAGGTGGTTAATCAATGCATGAAGATTCTTTCGAGGACGAACAACATTATCAAACAACTCTTCGTATGCTTGATTGAGGTAAGAAAAGGTCTTCTTGGCCATGAGAGCTGAACTAATCTTTTCGAATACTGAGATAGTGGAAATGTTCAACGGTTAGAAGAGAATTTAATGCAAATGTTTCATTGAGGAATGACAGTTGCATTTTTGAAAAATGCAGAGCCCATGCACGTTCTAAGACGTGGGTAAAATACCTTGATCCACTAATATCACCAAGTATTGGGTATATTAGTGCGGGGGGTAATGTTGGCTACATATTTTGTATAAGCCAGTCACAGTTCGACACGTGGCAAGATAAGGGCAATACGGGAAAACAATTCGAATCTTCAATCGTAATCACACACATAGCAGTTAGTATTGGTTATTGTGGATCTGCATAAACACTGGATCAGCAAATAGAAGCAAAATAACGTGGCTTTAGCGGTTATTCATATTTAAATTCAAAATCAAGAGGGAAGCCTAACTGTAGATATGGCATAGTGGAGCTAACTATAAGGTAACATGATCAGCAACCATGGAGAGGTGGTTCGATAAGTAGAAATACAGTTCAACGGTTGTTTTGAGAAGTATAACTAGCAGAGAAGGTCCCAAAAAGTGGCCCCCAGACTTAGATCCAAAAAATCAATTTTATTCTACTTTATGTCCTTTCCAGTTTTTATATTTCTTGTTCTTTACATTTCTGTACTTCAGTTACTGCACTGACTTCGTTCGTAGGAGTAGTTTCAAGTAGTTTGCTGCTGTAAACCTGTACGAGGCTGATTTGGATCTTTGTAAGTCTTTCATTTTACTTAATGAAATGCTACAATTGTTCTTCATTTAATCATTGTTTGTTTAATTCTCCTAAACAAAGTCACCAGTAAAAGTCCTCTTCATTGAGACTGAAAGAACTAAAACACAATCGTCTGATAATTGGTTGACAATTAATATTCTGTAAAGACTGATTGATCCTTACTGGCAAGCTCACAATTACAATAGTAACCTTCGAAAGTCAAAAAAGCCAACAATATTACAAATATACCCCCTTAAAGTATAAATTGTTTTTTGTAGTTTGAAAAATTACAAACACCTTTTATTAGAATTTTTTATTTAACAATGGTATCGTTTGAGAAGTGGATTGGCTTTTGGCTTTTGGCTTTTTTGGCTATTTTAGCCTGTGCTAAAAAGTTTGGTTTGGGAAGGATTTTTTGACTTTTTTGACTTTTTTTTGTGAGAGAATAGTGTAATGATTATGAGTTGGATGTGATATTTTGTTTTTTGTTATTAAAATAGCTTGTTTTGTCTTTTGTGACTAAAATAGCCAAAAAAAACCCCAAATAGCTCTTTCCAAACGGAGCCAGAATTAATTAAAAAGATAAAATTCATAATTGCTCTCCTATATAATAATAAAATTACCTAAATTATTAATTAAAATATATTTCTAATATCATTAAAAATGATTAATTGACCTGACGATTTATTAATAAAATGGGTGATTTGTTATGAAATTAGAAATCTCAGAAGATGGAATGTAATTTCTAAAATCACAGAGGACGATTCGTATTTTAATCAAATCTTAAGAGTGTGTTTATAATTTACCCATATTTTAAATTATAAATATAAATTTGTACTCACACTAACCGTTGAAAAAACTAAGAAGAGCTATCTTAATATTGAATATTTTCTAAATGATTATATTGCTAGTTTAAATTTATTGCAAAAATTATTATTAAAGGTAATTTTTAAAAAATTATTACATATTAGTGAAAAAAAAATTTACATATTAATTATTAATATTTTTATATATTTTTATTTTATATATATATCTGGGGAAATTACAAAAAAAACTAAGGATTTCGCGTGTTTTTCAAATTAAACCACATAGTTTTAATTTTGACAAATTAAACCCTAGAGTTTCTTCCGTGTTTCAATGCGAACCGTTTGTCTATATCCGTTCGATTGAACTAACGAAATTTGGATAAAATTCTTAGATTCAAGCACACATATTCAAACACTTGTATCTCCCTCGTCGTAACTCCGTTTCGCCTCATTTTTGCGTCATTGGATTCACCTCATTACCTAGTTTTCATTCTATCCCTCATACACCTTGTTCCACCTCTTTTTGTGTGCCGTTGAAACTCCGAAAGTTAACCAAAAATAAGATTTTTATCTCTTTGGGCAAAATTTTTAGATTCAAACACACATGTTTAAGCACTTGTATTTCCTTCGTTGTAACTCCATTTTGCCTCATTTTTGCATCGTTGGATTCACCTCATAGCCTAATTTTTTTTCCACCCTTGATACACTTTGTTCCACCTCTTTTTGCGTGTTGTCAAAGCTCCAAATGTTGGCCAAAAATAATTTTTTTTTTCTCTTTTTTCGTTTATCTTACATCTCCATAATTCTTCCTTCCTTCTTCCTTTCCACAATTATTCTCACTTTTCCTCTTCTTTCATGGCCATTCCCCCGCTCTTATGTTTCTTTCCGTTTTTATAAGTCATATACATTCATACTCAACGACACCGCCACCGTCAGAGGTTTGATGGCTACCACAAGCTCAGTGGAAGGGCCATGAAAAAAAAAGGAAAAAAGAGAATAATTGTGGAAAGAAAGTAGGAAAGAAGAAGCATTGAGATAGAAAATAGAGAGAGAGAGGAAAAAAAAAAAAAGATATTTTATTTTTTGTCAACTTTTAGAGCTTTGACGGCATATAAAAAGAGGTGGAATAAGGCGCATAAGGGATGAAATGAAAATTAGGCTATGAGATGAATTCAACAAAGCAAAGATGAGACAAAACAGAGTTACGATGAGGGAGATATAATTGTTTGAATATTTAGGTTTGAATATGAAAATTTTGCCTAAAGAAAAAAAAAAATCTTATTTTTGGCCAACTTTCGAAACTCCAACAGTATGCAAAAAGAGGTGGAACAAGACTTCTAAGGAGTGGAACGAAAATTAGGCCATGAAGTGAATCCAAAGACGCAAAAATGAGGCAAAACAAAGTTACGAAGAAAGATATACAAGTGCTTGAACATGTGTATTTAAATCTGAAAATTTTGTTCAAAAAGAGAAAAATCTTATTTTTGGCTGACTTTCGAAATTCAGTGGAGGAAGAGCAAAAGCAAAAGCAAAAGCAATTCCCCCCCTCTTTTTTTTGGTTTGGTTAGGAAAATAACAAGAAAATGAATATACATATTTATCGGAAAATATATATTTCTATTTATTTATAAAAATGAGCATGTACAACTAATTCTATTACTCTTCTTTCATTTTCCATTCCCTTGAAAAATCCGAAATCCCAATATAACATTAGCATGCCACTGAAAAAACTGAACTATCAGCTTGAATTCCACCAACACCACAGCAGAGGGCAGGGAGATTCTTGCCAATAAGAAAACTAAAGACTTCTTTTCAACAGACACTACACAATTCTTAATTAAAAAAAAAAAAAAAACCCAAACAACATCAACAAAAAGATTTCATACGCTTTTCAGTTACTGTAAAGGAAACAAGTATGGAAGCATTAAAGAACTTGAAGCAGGACTTGTGTAGCTTTATTTATCCCGAGTCCAAATATTCACCAATAAATCTAACACCCTGCAGCACATGTAACAGTAGTTTCAATACAAGAAATATTCAGTTTTTAAGAGAGAAGTGGCCATTGTCTAATAGTTAGTCTAATTTTGGACTATATATGGATAAGCAAGGTTTTAGAAAGTTTTACTGAGCTCGGCTCGAGACGAGGCCAAGGTAAAACACATCAAGACTATAATTTTTAGGCGATACTCCCCAAAGGCTTGAGCGTCTCAGGTGTGTGCCTCCTCGTACACCTTTTGGGTATAAGCATTCGAGGAGTACATAAAGAGCTTTTCTTGGGCTACTGTTAAACTTATTCTATAGACGGTTTAAACATAAAAAAGAATAATCTCTTTTGTAACTATATTTCATAGGAAAAATTAAGCAAATGACCAATCAAGAAAAAAAAAAATATCATGTTAAAGCTCAAGTGAGAAACTTCATAACTAAAGTCAAGAATATTGATTTCCCATTCAATAAGGACAAGCTTCCTTCTCAGTTGTGAAATATTCAACGCCTTCAAAAGAAATGTGTTTACACCTTTACATTTAATTTTTAATATATATTTGCTATTTTAAAATATTCTATTTATTTATTAAATATAAAATTTTGAAATTTGAAATTTGAAATGTTTACACGTCAATGCTGACGCCTCACCGCCTCACGAGGGGTAAAACTCTTAGGCATTTGCCTTTAAATTGTGGATAAGCTATTTGAAATTTTCATTTCCATGAGAGAAATGGAGGAGATAGTCACTTACTGTAATCTCTATTTCCGCCAAGAGATAATCTCATATGAGCCACAATACTTTTAAGGCAGCTTTCACACACTGCAAGAGCTCACTGCAAAAGGAAGCAATATTAGATTGTGATGGCTCTAGCTGACACACAAATCATGTAGAAATAACGGGAAAAATACTGTACTAAAACAAATATATTAAGAATCGTGTTTATTGTACGTGCCACGTGTGGAGCAGGCAAACGTTTGCAGAAGTATGAATTTCTACGTGTGTTTTACATGGATGAATGGTTATCACTAATTAACAAATTTAGGTACCAGTGCCAATTTGCAGTGGATAGAGTTAATTGGCATAAAAAAATTTGTTAACAAAATTTAGGATTTAGCATGTCGACAATTCCCTTAAGACAAAACATGTGCCAGATGCCTAGATTAAGTGTACCAGTCCAAATGTCCAAGGGACATTAGGATCCTCTTGTGTTTTGGTAACATTGAGACACAGCACAAGAAATGAGTAATAGGGTGCTTCAGGTGTGTGTCAGGAAGAGCAATATTATGGGTCTTAAGTGATAAGTGTCCAGTGTGTTTGTTGTATAAGTGGTATCTCTAGTTATGTGTGTCGGGCCAAGTGTGTATTTGTGCTTGTGAAATTTCCTAGTGTGTACTTCAGTGTATTGTCTTCTCTTATAGAGTGTTTTCCTAGTTTGTTTTCAAGAAATCTCATAACCTAAAAAACAGCCTCTAAATTGGAGTTTTTAAGCAATAGGAAAATGGTAATGGAATAAAATAGACTCCATTAGACTTCCAAAATAAGTCATTCATTTCAATTCTATATAAGAATGCTACCTTAAAAAATGCCCCTCTTTACTTGCATGATCAAATAGAGTTTTCACTAAAAACAAACTTAAACCTTAGGGACAAGCCGCATGGATCTTCTAGGAAGCTCTCTGTCAAGAAGATGCTTTCTGCTTCTTAGAATCTTATCATTAGGTTCACCACATTTGAGATCTTCAACCTCAGAATGCTGCTTCTTTCTCTTCAGTACTTTATCAGCTTTTGAATCCTCTGATGTTTTCTCCAATGACTTCTTCAACTGCAAGGATCTGCAAGAGGAAAATATGTATGCATAAATATATGCTTAAATCGCCACATTATTTAACTTATCACATGTTCTTCTTCAGTAAGAGCAACTACACTGAAGTTTCCGCCCCATTGATAAGTTTGCTCTTTTCCTGCACAAGATAGGACGTTGTAGTGAATTTTCTATTGTTACTGTATCTACAGCAAAGAAAAGCAGCATGTCATTAATTGTTTCAGAATCGAAAAAGCATTTCAATGTCCGTAGAGAAATATAGCTGAGTCCCAAGTAATTCAGCTCCACAACAGAAAATGCAGAAACTAAATTTCTTCTTTTGTTTAAGGGAAACAAAAAAAAAAAAAAAAAGGAAGAGAAAATGAGAAGGGATATTCCACCCAAGAAAGCAACTCAGAACTATATATCCAAAGAAAATGTCAAATGCTTAGATAATCCCCTGATGAACACAAATAATATAGCAGGCCTGCATTTAATATATTTTCAGTTATGTTTATGGAAAAAAAAAAAGTAAAAAAAATCGTCACATGTAAATCATTCTCTCTCATTTATGCATAAATCATGGAAGCTTGACATTAGTAACCACAAATAAATTTTAGCCTTCCGTAATTCAATTTGTGGAGTATCTAATGGTTGAATTGAAGGCTTTGGAATACCAAAAAGAAATTAAATCACACACATGCTTCATGTTATGCATTAAAAATTAAAGCAATATTTAACTTCATATGAAGATTTCATAGGTGCATGCTGCTGTTAAATTGAAATTACAGTAATTCTGGTTGTGGAGATCCTTAGTTTTGGTCAAGGCTTTTAGATTGTTTGGGAGAGACAAAAATATGATTTTTTTTTGTATAGCATTGCTTTCTTATATGAGTACGCTTCATGAATACAGATGTCATGATTCCTGTGGCATTTTTTATTGCTTTATCTTAATGATTTTACCAAAGATGATGAGTGAACTCCCAACATTCCAAACCTTTTCGTTGCAAGGTGCAATCAATTGATGCTTTTTCTCTCTTTTTCTAGACTTAAATTATTCTGCTATTTTGGAAACTGAGCCTCTTAAGATTCCATTAGTATCTAGCAACTCTATAATTGATATATCAAATGAGAATAAACAGAATTGTGCAAAATACAACGTTTTGTTCATGGGTTGACCCATGCAGTGAATTAAAAAAGGCCATACCTGTTCTCCAGCACATGCAGACATATGGTCTTGACAAGTACTTGAATTAGCCAATTCACCATCTCTTGTTTCCACATTGAGCATTGGATCAACCACATCCAGGAAACCATTATTTCTGCAAGGAAAACATGATGCATCTTTTTGTTGGTTTACAACTTCTGATGACTGCATTTCCATTGAACCACTTGATGGAGAATGCCCCGAACTAGGGCTCACACGAGTGCAAGCGTTTTGAAGAGTTAAATCCTCACAAATTTTATCACCAACCTCTGACTTCTGATGCTCCAGCGAGTACAGATTTTTTGGACTTTCAACTGTAGAATTCACAACAGAATCACTGGATGACTTTATTTGGGGAGTTTTGATGACACTGGATTCAAGATGAAATGTTTCCCGGTCTATCGGACAAGACTCTCTACCAGAAGTTGCATGGTTATGTATATCAGAATTGGGTGTAGAGAAGAGCGGAAGTTCTTTATCTTCCTCTAACTCTGCAGACATCTCTGTAGCAACATTGCAAGGTTTTACTGGCGAGAATCTTAAAGACCCATCACCTCCATATGGATGATCAACCACAACAGGATCACATTCTCCCTTAATTGGATAAGAAAAAGATTCAGCTTTTCCATGGCAATTGTTCTTTTCATGCTCCAAATCTGTATTCCAGAGAGATGAATTTTTCATTTCTTTGTTTTTATTTCCTAAAAGTTCAATCTCCTCACGAAGACTTCCAAATTTGTTATCATGCGCGTTGTGACAACCGCACGCCTTGCTCTCCAATCTGTTAAACCAGTCTGATGGAGTTGAATTGAAATCAACAACAAGGTTAATGCCATCTTCTGAACTGATATGAAACTCGAAGGAAGGAGTGGCCTTAGATTTTATAGACAAAGAAGCATTTTCCACCAGACATGCATCATGGTTTAAATTTCTACTTTGAATTTGGGGTGCATCATTTACCCCAACCTCCCTTGCAAAAGACAAATTGTTCTTGTCAGAGCTAATCTTTGGGGACTCCACTCTGTAGCCAAAATCATTCTCATTGTGTCCAAGTTCATTTTGTGACCGTGATGTCTCTCTCTTTTTGCAGGTTAAGTGAGAATTCTCTGGAACATTATACAAGGGACACTCCACATCTTGAACAATTTGAAAACCTGATGCCTGCATCTTCATAACTAAATGGATCAAATAAGGTTTAGTTTTCTACATCTAAAAGACTGCATTAAGGCAGTTCAAGTAGTAACACAGGAAAAAAGGAGACTTTCCAAATCCAATAGGATGACTGGACCAATATGGCCGACATCTTCGCTATTTCCACATATCCGCATACTTATGTAAAAGGTTGCTGTCAAGTAAAGCTTTGCCCCAAGTAATATGCAAGAAAAGCAATTATTCTCACCTCAACATAAAGCTGGTAAGCAAAAATGACTTTTACCACTTGCTGAAGGGTAATTGGACAAAAACATGGTAGATAAAATAAAATACACATATATAGCATTTTAGTCCTGTATTCTCATGCAGAAACCAAATAAATACACCCCAGATTATAACATTTTATGGAAAGAAATAATTTAGTATACCACCAATTGTGCAATATCATTTAAAAGACGTAAAGCATGGAAAAAAACCGAACCTTACTATAACTTTCACCTCCCACGAAACCTCCTTGTTCATTGCATTTAACAGTTTGAGAACGATTTTCTCTGTTTTCCTTCTCCCCTGGACAATTAATATTCCCATTATTATCTGCAATAAATGAACCCAGCACTTTTATATGCACTGCATCTTCTATATTTAGGAGTAATTAAAAATACTCCAAAAAGATTATAGCAATTTATTGTGCCAGAATCGCAAAGACTAATAATGTAGTTAGTAAAGATGTCCAAACCTTCTGGAGCATGCACCATGTTATCTTCCCGTGCTCCACACTCCAGAGGCGGTATCATAGATGTTGAGCCTTCCACTTGGGACACTGAACTCCAATTCTTCTTCTGTATGGTCGTTAGATATTAATAATTGTTGTAACACAGATACGACAAGTTTGATCTTATCTTTTCAAGCGACTTATCTATGATTAAATAAACGATAAAGTCAACAATGTCTAGAAAATGGAGGGAAAAATTCATAAGTACCGTAAAACAAACATCAGACATAATTAAAAACAAAATGTGTGATGATAAGATGGCCGAATGTTAGGCAACCAGATACTGTGGAAGCTTGAGCTATTAGAGAGTTAGCCAAGCAATGTACATCAAACTCCCACACCCTCTGTCATTTGTGAGCCCTATAACACATGGGATGACAAACAAACAGAATGGGGTACGAAAACATGAATAAAACACATTGCATATGGACAATATAATTGAGAAACAAATAAATACAAAGACAATTGAACCCAAACCTCCAGAGAACCAAAATTCTATCATGTTAGACAATCAGTTGCCCCAAATGCTTAAGCCGTTAAGATAATGCCACCCTATTGTAGGGAAGATAGTGCTATAATCTCGCACCACGTGTCTGAGAGTGTCTGACACTCTTTATGTTACCATGTTAGACAATCTCTCGCACACTCTCAAACACGTGTCTGACACCTTTTTTCTTTTCTTTTTTTCTTTCTATGTCCTTATTTAAGAATAGAAATCTTACTTTCAAACATGTGTCCGGCCCTCCTTTTGTAACAAGTCAAAAACACTCTTTGGACGCTTGCTAACATGTGATTATGAATAAGACAATGAATAATTTTACGTGTCTTTTACTAATAACGCTCAGATTTTCACTTCAAATTTTTTGAAAAATGAAAAAAGGCACATAGATGTTTTAACTAAGAACTTGACTCCGGAGGATGAGAGAAATGCTATGATTATATGTGCTTGCTACACTTTGTCTGATTGCTATAATTGTGGTCCGTTAGTTTAAAAATATATGTAAGCTTAGTACATACAAAATTTACTTAACATAAAGTAATGATTTCTTCTACCGAATAAATTATGTTTGTAATATATATATAGATAAACTTAATAATTTAATATATACGCACAATTATCTGTAGTGTGTCCTAGTCATGTCCATGTCCCAAATTTTTTTTAGAATTTGCCTTGTCGACATGTTCATGTTAAGTCATGTCTGTGTTTCATAGCATTCTAGTAGTATTATTCTTGTCTGTTGGTTTCTTTCTTTAAAGCTTTTCCTTCCTTTTAAGAACATCCCCTACCTTTTTATTTCTCTTTCTTTAATATGTTTCCATTCTCATCAATAATGAAAAAATCAATGAGGTTTGGCAAATGCTTTTGTAGAAACTTTTTTTGGCAAAGAAATTTGTCCTTAGTGAACTTTTACAAATTTGTACTAAATTTTTTACTTTCCAATTACTGTTAAATATTCATGCAGACTAAATTCTTATCAATTTTCAGAAAGTTCACTTAGTACAAAGCAATAATAAATAAATCTTTCAAAATTATATTATTTTTTAAAAAATATTTAGCTCCCAGTCTAGAAGCACCAAAAAAAAAAAATTTTGAAAAAAGGTGCAATTGAAAAAAAAAAAAAAAAAAAACTTCATTTGCCATTAAAACACCATGGCATCAGTCTTGCAACAAATCCAAGATCTAACATAAATTTTATGAAGGCTCTGCCTCTAGACTCCTTTTATAATGCCTTTTCGAAAACAAAACATATAATCTTTCAAAATTATATGTTTTCTTATCACCTTACAAAATCCCCGTTTTTCAGTTATCCCCTTATTTCTTTTATTAGCAGCTAATAAATAACATATAGCCAGATTGGATTCTGACCAATCACTCCTGACCCACAAATTCACCAGTAAAAATGGAACTCTTGTATTTAAACATAGAGCTAATCTTCTAGCTATTATGTAACCTTCCTGCTCTAAACACTAAAAACTTGGTGCATCTACACTCAAACATGTACTTCTTGTCAGTCATGACTAGAATTTGATAACCAGCCCAACTGCCCAGGACAGAATTATATCAAGTACTTGCGTAAAAGGAGAAGTAAATTCTCCCCTGAAGTGCATAACCCACCAATGTAATTTTCCTCTTCTACCATATTTGACATGATCAAAGAAGTTTCCTACTTTCATGATTGAATAATAATAATATCAATAATTTATCATCATTATTATGGTTAGTTCTAATATTACTATCAATATTAGAGCATTTGTATGATGATCATAATACATAGTTCAACGAAGGGGAAATGCAATAAGGAGCAAATTCATACCAGAACTTCTCTCAAAATAATTTATCTCCTGCCATGCATTTCTGCATGTATTTACATCATACATTAACAATTTTAAAAGCTTATTATCATTCTCTCAAATATGAATATGATGTGCAAAGACGAGAAAAACAAATTTAGACATGGACATATGTAACACAATTAATTTTCATTTTGTACAGATTCCAGTTGCAATGACATTAACTCACTCTTGACATTTACCTTAAAGTAAGACGAAAGCGAATTGACTAAATTAGATTTCGTCATATATGGAGACAAACCATAGCTCTTGCACAAATCCTGTAGCTCTTTCTTTGAAAGGCGATAGAAATCATTATCTTCCATCTGTCAGAACCTAAAGAATTAACAGTTAAAACAAAACCCCATGTTAACGTGCTTCATTGAGATATGCAAGCCATGCAAAAAAGACTCCAAAAATAAAAACCTTCCCATAACAAACATGGTAATAACATCAAAATATGTTGGATCTAATACAATGCTTGTTAAAATGAACTGAATTTTTTCCCATAAAAACATTTTAACATAATGTAATCGGTGGCTTGAGAATTATTCGGTGTTTCTTTGTATAGTTGGTTGGAGCAAATGGTGGATCTGGATTTATTTGTTTTCCTAGATTTTTTGGATAATGTAATTGGTTAGAAGTTTTTTAGTTACCCTTTTTTAGAGTTTTCGTATTCTTTGCATCATCTTGATACTTTTTCAATAAAGTTTTATTTATCAAAATATATATATATATATATAAGTGCACTGACCAAATGGCCGTTGATAAAGTCGAGTGGAGAAGAAGGATTCATAACCGACCCCATTTGATGGGATTTCAGGCTTAGTTTGGTTTAAGTGCACTGACCTCCTATCTTTAATGTATTATGGCTGGCTGCCATTACGCCATATTATTTACAGTGATATTAGACCCTTACCATTAATTCACCCACACTGCTCAACAAATTATGTGATCATTTATATGAAACTGCATTTTTGCACCTACCAAAACAAGAACTCCAGTTTTACCCATACACAAGCATGCGAGCAGTTGAAAAGATGAAATAACAATGACTCATTTGTAGAGATGGTGATACATCATTAGCCAATAACTCACACACACAAGAAATTTTTGTCCAATTTTACATCAGTGGTTCACCTAAACAACTCATGGTCAAAACAAGATGCTACCCATGACTGGTCCTTGACCGCGTGAACGAGTGTTGGGCAGGTTAAAACTAGAAACAAAACTAACCTGCAGGGCATTATTTGCACCATGTAGCTGCTCTTATATTCAAACCCCATTCTACGCTAAACACCCCAGCTTTTTACCATTGTACCAAGCATTGTCGCCAAATCATGTGCAACGTAATCACCAATTACTGTTAAATATTCATGCAGACTAAATTCTTATCAATCGTCTTCCTCAACTATACTAGAATATGCATATTCCTATATCAACAGTTACTGAATTTAGAAATATGAGACACACAGCTACTACTTCTAGAGTAAAAGCCACACTATTTGACTCGAGAGATAAAGAAAGAACAAATACTGTTAGATCAAATATCCAAAAATAAAATAAAATACATCCTCACTGTTTTATATAGACAAATCTCTGAAATGGAAGTTACAATTAGATGCTTCCGGCCATTAGCAAAATTATGCCACGTGTTAAAATTTAAGTGCTTCTGAACTTCTAAATCCGTAGAATGCATGAAAATAACGTCGGCGTGTTAGAACTAGTTAGGTTAGGTCATTTTGATTATGTTTCCAATATTATTAGAATTTAGCTTCCTATTTTGATTAGGGTTCTAAGCTATAAATCCCAAAGAAGGGTGGTATGACTAAAAGGAAAGTAGAAGGTCAAGCTTGGATTAAAGAAATCTAGCAAGCTAATATATCATAACCCTAACACCAATCTCAATTGATTTATAAAGAAATAATCTTCAACACAAAACACCCATATTTCTTACTAATAAACCAAATATAACACATAATCATCTCCTCAACTATGCATATGCTTATAACTCTTTCTAACAAAAAAATGTAATCTAATTTTTTTATTTTTTTTTTATAAATACATTCATTCAAACTTCAAACAAGCCACGTTAAACAAAACAAAACCAGAAACGCAAATCAGCTCGACATTCAAATATAATCGAACAAGATGGTTCTATTTAATCTCTAGACTCTGTTCATCCGCAAAGAAAACATACCGAAAAAAATATTTTAAAAAAAAACAAGAAGAAATCAACACTTTCAATGCTTTTCGTTTCCGAGAATTTTTTTTTTATAAAATCTCAGCTCACTCGACTCACTTGACTGAATACTCAGTGCAAGGAATCAGATGATCATGAATCGAGGTCATTGAGAAAAATCAGGCAAAGATTTTGAAATTTCCTTTCCGTTTTTGATACGTTTTTTCTCAGAAACCAAACGAGCTCATGGCTATGAAAATTCGCTAGAATGTGAAACAAACAGAGAAGAGGGAAATGAGGGAGTACCTGATGGAGAATTTTCCAGGAAAATTAGGGGGAAAGTTGACGGAAACGAGAGAAATGTGAGTAGGCTTTTGTAGAGAAGAGAGAGAGAGGAATGTAATGAGCGTGTTTTTGAGTCGGTGGTCACACAGGTGTCTCAGAGAGAGAGAGAGAGAGAGAGAGGTCTTAAAAATAGAGGAGTGTCCTAAATGTTGTTTTGGTTGGGTTGTTCTTATTTGGGTAAGTCGTCGCGGTTTTTAATGCGATTATTATGATGGATGGATTCAGATTCAAAAAGGAGCGCCCCACCACCCCACCTAGACTCTACTCCAGGTCCAATGACGGTGCCTTCCAACTCTTCTATTTCAAATCATCATTTTCAAATGTCACTTCAAATTTTGGTTAAATTGTTTTGACAATTAATTTTTTAATGTTTTAAAAAAAATGTATTGAAAAGTAAAACAGATGGTTGATTTTTTTTTGGAAAATAAGTGGAAGTACTAATTAGTGTTACTATTAATGATATGACAGTAGGTCTTACTTATGGCCACAATGTTTTTGTGCCCTTTTTTTTTCAAAAATGTTTTAGACCACTAATTAGTGGTGACTCTAATGATGTGGTAGTGGGTCTCACCCACTATCACATGTGTTTTGTACCTTGTTTTTTTTTTTCTTTTTTTTTTCAATGGTCACCTCACTAGTGGTAGTATTAGTAATGATAAATTAGTGGTCTATAGCATTGTCCTTTTTTTTTTTTTAAAGTGGGTGCCAACTCATTAGTGATGCTTTAGAACATCACTTTTAGTGGGATGTACCATTATTGTTTTTTTTTAAGAGAGGATTAAAGCATATTGTTGGGTTTTGAGGTCTATTACGGATTCTATTTCAATTATTCGAACTGGTCAATGCATACAATTCATTCAGGTCTCGTTTGTTTTCAGAAATAGAATAGAGGGGATTGATAGTGAGGGAATTAATAGTAAAGGGATTAAATAAAATTGTGTTTATTTTGATGATAGTTGTTAGTGTAGGGATTGTCAAATTATTTTTATATAAAATAAATATTAAAAAATACAAAAAAAATTAAACATTAATGTTTTAAAAAAAATACCCAACATGTAAAAAATTTAAATAAAAAAAAAAAAATTCCAGAAAAAAATAAAACAAATAAAATAATGATTTTTAGTTAACAAAAAATACAAAAAATTAAACATTAATGTTCAAAAACAAATGCTCGACATGTAAAAAATAAAATAAAAAATTAAAAAAAAATTCTAGTTCGCCAGACTATTTTTTTAATACCAAGTCTTGGAGGCCTATCCGAATCTCCTTGGGGAGGCTCATCCTAATCTGGAACTCACTATCAATCCCCTCCCCATCTCTCAAAACAAACACAATATTAGTGGGTCCCACCTCACTACCAATCCCAATCCCCCTCTAAATCTCTAAACAAACGGGGCCTTAGTGCTTTATGTTTGGAAAAAAATAAGTTGATTAGATATCGATAATCTCTTAATTGAAATACATTTTTGTCAATGGTAAATATGATTTTCAAAATAAATTATTAACAAAAGTATGTTTCGATCAAGGGGCTACTAATATCTGATCAATGTGATTTTTTATAACCATAAAGTACTCGACAAACTCTACATATTGTAGGTGTTTGGGAAGCGAATTTTTTTTTATAGATTTTTTTAGTTGTAGGATATTATTGGAGAAAAAAAAAGTGTTTGGGAAGATAGTTAGGTTTTTTGTGGTTGGATATGATATTTGTGAGAGAAAAAGTAAAATGATTATTAGGTTTGATGTAATATTTTGTTTAGATTTATTTTTTTGGTTTTGTAACTAATTTGTTTTGTAGTGAAAAAAAACAAAAAACCGAGTTTCCAAACATCGCCATTGAATGTTTTGGATTATCGAAATAGAACATGTGGTGAGCTCCATGGACCTAACAATATGCTCCAGTCCACACAATAAACTAGAAAGAAGCCTCTTCCTTTTTTTTTATAATTAAAAAGTTACTCTCTCTGTCTCAAAATATTACTTCATTATTTCATTTTTTATTGTTCTAAAATATTAGTTTATTTTCAAAAATTAAAAATTAAAATAATCTCTTTTTTTGCATTTTTAAAAATTCATTATTAATTTTTTTGTTTTTTTTTTTGAACTACATTATTAATATTTTTGTAATTGTAATAATCGTACTATAACGCATAATTTTAAAAAGTTAATAATTTTAAAATGTAATAATTATATTATCAAAAAGTTGGTAGATTTCTCAAAAAGAATTAATATTTTGGGACAGACGAAATAAAAATCAATATAGGGTCCGTTTGGGAAGAGCTTTTTCAGACTTTTTTGGCTATTTTAGCCACAAAAGACAAAATAGGCTATTTTAACTACAAAAAACAAAACATTACATTCAACTCATAATTATTACACTTTTCTCTCACAAAAAAAGTCAAAAAAGCTAAAAAGCCAAAAAGCCTTTCCCAAACTAAGTTTTTTAGCCCAGGCTAAAATAGCCAAAAAAGTTATAAAGTTATAAAGCCAACCCACTTTCCAAACGGAGGCATAAAAAGTTAGTGGTTGTTTGAGAATAGACTTTTAAAGTTTTTAAATTTTTTGCAAAAAAATATATAATTTTTTTTTTAAAAAAAAAAGTGATTTTAGCCCAGGCTAAAATAGCAAAAAAAGTTAAAAAGTTAAAAAGCCAACCCACTTTCCAAACGGAGGCATAAAAAGTTAGTGGTTGTTTGAGAATAGACTTTTAAATTTTTAAATTTTTTGCAAAAAAATATATAAATTTTTTTTTTAAAAAAAAGTGATGTGATAAAAAATAAAAATAAAAAGATAAAAAAAATATCTTCTTTTAGTAGTATCCCAAACAATCCTTTAATCTATTCTCTATTTTTTTTTACATTTTTTTATTATAAAAGTATAAAATATTAAAATAATAAATTAACAAATGAATTCTAAAATTGTATTTAGATTATAGATATGAGTATAAATTATGAAAGAAAAAAATATATATATTTATATTTTACTATTTTTTTCATTTCCTAAATCCATTTATGATTCAAACACAGTTTAAGCATTGATTTAAAAATTAATTTTTGTACATTTTAAATTTTTTATAATAAGTTATCATTTGTTAGCTATTTAATAGTTTTTGGTAGGAAAAATATCAAATTAGAAAAAAATTAAAAAATAATTACAAATCAGCAATTTTTTTATTAATATTAATAATTATAATTATAATTATAACTTTTTTTTATGAATATGTATTCATTATTTCAAAATTATATTGAGATGTATTACTCATTTTTTTTAAAGTGGTTTAAGTTGATATTTTCACAAAATGGAATAAATTAAATGGATTTTTGCTTTTAAGCTGAATTGGCTTAAAAAAGTAACTTATTAAAGCTACCATTAGTATGGATATGAAGATTGCTCGATCCTTTTTATTATCATTGTTTACTGAGAGAGGTTTGGAATGATCTAAATAAGTGTATTTTTTGATTTTTTATAAAATATAAATTGATATGGGTTGGGTTTGAAGTGATGTGGTAAACAGATAATGTAACTTAAATAAGATGATGTAACTTAAATAAGATAATAATTTTTTTACTTTTTAATTTTTTTAAATTATGACAAACAAGACCTAAATTTGTCAAAATTATACTTGATGTATTACCTTTATAGTCATCAATTATTTTCTTTTTATTTGAGTTAGACTTGACAATGTCAATTATCTTTATTGATTGCGTCCATCATCACATAATTATTTTCATTTGTTTATTGACAGTGCTGATAGGGAACATCATCAAAGATTTTTCATATTTTTCATAAAATTTAGCATGATGATATTTATTATCACCATTGTAATTAGGCTATAAATATAATTAGGAAAATTTTTAAATAAGTAAGATAGGCATAAAATAATTACACTGAAATCTTTTTTTGTGCAATTCTGATGTACAAAAAAATTTGTATTAAACACAAAAAATAACTTGCACCATACATACAGAAAATTTAAACCACCGTAAAAATGAATTTTTTTTTTCTCAGGACTTCACTGAAATGCAACTTCTCCATATAATTATGCATCATTTTGTTTTTTTTATTTTCCTTATCTTATCATAACCATCAATGTTTATCATCCATGATTCTTTTAATTTTTGTTGGAGTTTGATTTGATAATTTTATTCAATTAATTATTATCAATTAACTTTTCTATTAGAGAAATTATCGATAAGAGATAATTTGGAAAAGTTATTATATACGTATGAAAAAATTTATAATTTTAATTATTAATATTAATAAATTTTATCACTAATTTATAATTATTTTTTAAATTTTACACTAATATCAAATTTCCCCTTTTCTATTCATATATTTCTACATCAATTAATCAGGGAGCAAATTCTCTCCAGTCCATTGTTTCAATTGAAGAGTCCAATTTGGCCCATTAGAGGCCCATTTTGGATCCAATAAAACATCAGTCCATATAATAATATTTCAATACACAGTAGCCAGCCAAAATGGGCTAATTACCCATTAGCATCTTTACACATTTACCAGGCGAAAAACACTCCTTGGATGCTGAAGTTTTAATTTAAAAGTCATTACAAAAAAATTACATTTTAATTTTTGTCTTTTTATAATAAAAAAATCACTAAAAAAATCTATATAATAAGGCAAGAAGCTTTTTTAAAATGTCTTAAAATGTATGAGAGATACATATTGAATCAAGGGTTGAGATGAGTTGTTTTTAACCATTGAGGGCTGAGATGTTTTGTAATATTTTCAATTCCTGCCCAAAACAATCCCCTCTCTCTCTCTCCTGTGTTCCACCCACTCCAAACATTATCTGCACACTTCTCTCTCTCTCTCTCTCTCTCTCTCTCTCTCCAACTTCTCAGGTCTCAAACTCTGTTCTCAGAGATCTCCCTCTTCCTCTCCCTCTCCCTCCTCTCCACCGTTGAGTCGTCTCCACCGTCGTGCCGCTTCCGATCTCCTCTCCAACTTTCCAGGTCTCAAACTCTCTGTCCTCAGAGATCTCTCTCTTCCTCTCCCTCCTCTCCACTGTCGCTCCGCTTCTACCATTGCGTCGTCCTCACCGTCGCGTCGCCTCCAATCTCCACCGACAGCAACTACGGCACATGAGTTGCAACTTGGAACATGAGTTGCAGTGAGAAGAACATAAGAGGATGACCCCAAGTTGGT